AGGAAACGGCGGGTGCTTCTGTCCGGTGATTGGGAGTCGCTATCGGGACATCCCGTCCATTTCCACATTCCCACTACCTTCCAAATTGCCGGTAGGCCATCATACCGTTCAGTAGGCCCTCTTGCTTGTAACGTCTTTCAGTAGTTTAATTCTGTTTCGTTCCTTTTTTTTTGTGTAGTCAAACTGAAGCAGCCGAGCGCTACCCAATCGGAGATCCGGCAGATCGATAGGGTAAGGCTGAAGGTCCCTGCCTTGAAGAGAGTCTACCCGAAATTCCTCTTCACTCCCAATCTCATCAAGGCTCAACTTGTCAATCCTGCTGAGAGTAAGTGTACTTGTCCACTATGACTCAGTTTCTTGCCATAATGAGAATTCTTACCGATCTTGGTTTTACAGTGACTGAAGAGAGGAGGGCTACCGAGGTGAAGAGGATGAACGAGTCCTCCAAACGACGCCTTATGCTCGGCCTCCAAGGGAAGAAGAAGAAAATCGGGCAGCCAGAAGCGGTACCAGCGTCATCGGGAGGAGTCAACCCCGAAGACCTTACCCTTAACGAGCGTCGTCATCAGCTCAATGCTGAATCAGCGCATGCCGAAGCGACGGCGGCCGGTCCGTCTCTTGGCCGAGGTGTGCCTACCGAGGGCACCTTCTCCAAAGCAGCCGACAAGGGCCCATTCACTGTCGATCTAGATGTCGATCCAGCCCCGAAGCGCGGTCGGCAGACCGAGCTTGCTCAGGCCATCTTCGCTGCTGAAGACGATGAAGCGCCTGCCGAACCCGTCATTCTGGCATGTCCGTCGAAAATGGTACAATTTGTGAACCACATGATCCTCGGTTCACAAATGGAGCTTTCTGAGATCGAGGACCAGCTGAAGAAGCTCCTTCGGGAGGAGGCTGGCCGTGCCTTCCGTCTTCAAGCTTTGGTAAGCGCTAACCATTCTCAGTTTATCGTACCGTTTGTTTCCAGCCGTATCTAACATTTTCCTTTGCTCTACAGGCTTCAATGGACATGTAGCTGTGCGTCAAGCGAGCCATCAATGCCGCCGAAAAGGCGAAGAAGGCTTATAAAGACGGCATGGCTAGGGTTGCCGAGGCTGGCAAGGCTATCCAAGCTCATTCGAACTTAGCGAAGGACATGCAGGATGCCAAACGGCAGGTCAAGGTTTATCAAGCCAAGCTCGGTGAAATGTCGGTAGCCCTGGAGTCGGCACAGCTAGCTGCAAAAGAGGCTCTAGAGGCGAAGGAGGCGATCCAGATGGCCTTTGAGGAGTCGGAGCGGGCCAAGGCTTCGGAGATCGAGGCTGCAGTCCAGGAAGCAATCCGGGAGTACCGTCAGTCTTCCGAGTTCTCTACCTTACTGGACAAGGAGGTGGGCTCGGAAATGGCGGATTTGCTCTACTGTTTCAAGCGGTACAACCCCGGACAAAAGCTCAACCTCAACTTTATTGCCGATTCTCCCCCTCTTCCTGAAGGCATAACTGAAGAGATGATCGAGGACTACGAGGGGGAGGATGCCCCAGAAGAGGCTCCTACCGAGGGGACCACTGCCGATGCCGAGGAGGCTGCTGTCGATGCCGAGGCCAAGGTGGCCGCTGCTTGATAAAAAGTTTCGTACGCTCTGCAATGATAATCTTCTCCAAAAGCTTCTTTTCATTTTCAACTAAAGCTGGTTGAGCTCTAAAAGATGATAGAAGAGTACGAAGGGGAGGACGCCCCGGAAGAGCCCGTTGCCCCTGATGCCGAGGAGGAGACTGCCGCTTGAGCCTTGTTTAAGTTTTATTTCATGTAATCTGTCATAAGGCAATATGTTCTGAACACCTTGATGCCAAGGGCATCTTTTAATTCAAGTAGTTTTAATATTCAGAGTTGATTGTCAAGTAGTTTTACTTTCGGCATGTTTTTGTTTAACTTGTCTTAGGAACTTTTTAAATGCCGAAGGCTAGATAAAAGTTAATCAGCCATAGGCCAATAACAAGCTAACTTCTAAGCACAACCTGAGTCAGTAGGAAGTTGATTTAACTGCCAAGGGCTAAATAATTTGATCTTCCAATTGTTAACAGGTTTAAAATCAAGTTAACCTTGTATCGGTAGGAAAGAATATCGTGGTACCTTAATTGCCGAAGGCTAATAAAAGGATTTAAAAATGTAGTATACTGCGACTGATGGTCTCTACCGCATCTTTTAAATTAACACACCGAAGGTTGTGAATATTTGCGTCCTAGGCCTTTTCATTAATGATTGCCGAAGGCAAAGATACATTTGGAGTTCGTTTTATAATTGAAAAACCTGTCGTAGGCTAGGGAACTCGATACTGCCGAAGGCAGTGAGTAAGAATAAGCCAAAGGCTTTCTGATCTACACTATTATCCTGCTGTAGGCTAGGTGACTTCATTTAAAATAATATTTCAAATGCTCTACGTTCCAAGGATGACCGAGGGTCTTTCCGTTGGAGTCCCTGAGTCGATAAGTTCCCGATCGCTGGATGCCGATGATCTCGTAAGGTCCTTCCCAGGAAGGTCTGAGGGTTCCTTCCGTGGGTTCTTTAGTTGCCAGAGAGACTTTTCGCATGACCCAATCTCCGACTTGGAAAGTGCGAGATCTGACCCTGGAGTCATAGTACCGAAAGATGCGCTGTTTGTAAGCTTCATTCCGAAGATTGCCTTGCGCTTGGCGTTCTTCGATCAGGTCGAGGCTCAAGGCGAGTACCTTCTCATTCGCCTTTGGGGCGAAAGTTTCCGTTCGGTAGGAGGGTTCTCCGATTTCCACTGGGACTACTGCTTCGAGCCAAAGGCCATGGAGAACGGTGTTTCTCCGGTTGCCGTTCGGTAGGATGTCCGGATGGCCCATAATGCCTCTGAAAGCTTCTCCGGCCAAGCTCCTTTGGCTTTGTCAAGCTGCCATTTTAATAGTTTCTTGACTATTTTGTTTATCGCTTCGACTGACCGTTCGATTGGGAGTGAGCTGGCGAAGCGAAAAACAGATTGATCTTGAGGCGAGTGCAGAACTGCCTAAAGGCTTCTGAATCGAATTGCCTGCCATTATCAGTGATGATGGCGTAGGGGATTCCGAATCGGCAGCAAATGTTCGTTCATATGAAATCTTCCATTTTGGCTGCCGTTATCGTTGCCAAGGGTTCGGCATCTACCCACTTGGTAAAGTAGTCTACGGCGACAACAGCATATTTGACCTGGCCATTACCTTGCGGCATCGGACCAATCAAGTCTAGTCCCCACTAAGCGAAAGGCCATGGGCTTACGATCGGTGAGAGAGGCTCGGCAGGGATGTTAGGGACACTATCGAACCGTTGGCATTTGTCGCACTTCTTGACTAGGACGTTTGCATCTTGGTGCAAAGTCGGCCAGAAATAATTTGTCGCACTTCTTGACTAGGACGTTTGCATCTTGGTGCAGGGTCGGCCAGAAATCCCCCTGCCGGAAGACTTTGTGTGACAGCGACCGGGACATTAAATGGTCGCCGCAGACCCCACTGTGAACTTCCCGAAGGACGTAGTCACCCTGCTCTTTGGTGAGGCATTTCAGATATGACGTGGTGTAGCCTCGCTTGTACAGGACATCGTCGATGACTGTGTATCTTGCCGATCGGTACCGTAGCTTTCGAGCTTAAGACTTATCGATGGGCAACGTTTCGTTTGTTAGGAAGGCATAAATTGGAGACATCCATGTGTCCTCGTACCGTACGGTACATACCTCTGCCGTTGCCGTGCTTGGCTGGGATAGTATCTCCACTGGCACCTTCCTTCCGATCTTATCATTTATTGCCAAAGCCAAATACGAGAATGCATCAGCGTGACTGTTTTCTGACCTCGGGATCTGCGAATCTCGTAGGCCTGAAACTTTTGTAGGAGTTGGTGGGCTGCCGATAAGTAGGCGGACATGGAGGCATCATTTGCTGCGAAGTCTGTCGTTATTTGATTCACAATGCTGATTTGCTTTGCGCGCATGCTCTTGGCTAGCCGAAGGCCGGCCAAGAGAGCCTCATATTCCGCCTCGTTGTTAGAGGTTCTGAAGTTGAATCGGAGGGCGTATTCGACTTTGCTTCCATCTGGAGTAGTTAACACCAAGCCAGCTCTGCAGCCTTACTGATTTGCCGAGCCGTCAACATGCAAGATCCATAAAGGGACAGAAGGATCAAAGCGCTCGGCATCCGTTTTCCCCGGTTCTGTAATAACAACATTCAGAGAACATGCTTCTGATAGTGCGAGTGTGAGCTCGGAGATGAAGTCGGCGACGGCCTGACCCTTCTCTGCAGGCCTTGGCTTGAACTGTATGTCAAATTCTCCCAGCTTGATCGCCCATTTGACCAACCTACCGGATGTTTCTGGCTTTTGAAGTACTTGCCGAAGGGGCTGATTGGTCAGTACTGTGATTTCGTGCGCTTGGAAGTATGGGCGGAGCCTTCTTACCGACACAACAAGGGCTAGTGCTAGCTGTTCCAAGGGTGGGTACCGAAGTTTCGCACTCTGAAGAGCCTTGCTGATATAAAATATTGGTAGCTCTGCCTTCTCTGGCTTCCGTATCAATACCGAGCTGACGGCAGTGCTTGATACCGAAAGGTAGATGAGGAGAATTTCTCCTGGAAGTGGTTTTGACAACAGTGGTGCCTTGCTCATGTAGTTCTTCAAGTCTTGAAATGCTTGGTCGCATTCGGGAGTCCATGCGATATGGTGTTTGCCCCCTTTCAAGGCTTTGAAGAACGGTACATATTTATCGGTAGCTTTGGAGTTGAAGCGTGTCAAGGTAGCGACGCGTCTGGTAAGGATTTGAATGTCCTTCTATGTCTTCAGCGTCTCTATGTCGACTATGACTTTGATTTTCTCGGGATTGGCCTCGATTCCTCTTTGGCTGATCATGAATCTGAGAAACTTTCCAGAAGATACACCAAAGGCCCACTTCGTTGGGTTCAACCTCATTCGGTATTGCTTGAGTATACCGAACATGAGGGCCAAGTTTTCCAAGTGCCCCCTTGCCGTTCTGCTTTTTACTAACATATCGTCGACATACACCTCCATAATGCCGCCAATATGTTCAGAAAAAACCGATTGACGAGCCGTTGGTACGTTGCCCCAGCATTCTTCAGTCCGAAAGGCATGACGTTGTAACAATACAACCCGCGGAAGGTGATAAATGCTGTATGCTCGCTATCGGTAGGGTCCATGAAAATCTGATTGTACCCTGAATAGGCGTCCATGAAGCTGAGCAGCTTGTGTCCAGCGGTTGAGTCAACGAGCTGGTCGATCCTCGATAATGAGATGCTGTCCTTCGGATAGGCCTTGTTCAGGTCGATATAGTCCTGACACATTCGCCATCCCCCCTTGGCCTTCCGAACCATGACCGAGTTGGCAAGCAAGACATGGTACGTAGCTTCCCTGATAAAGCCGATGGCTTTTAGCTTCTCCACCTCGGTACGCATGGCTTCATACCATTCGGCATCATACGAACGGCGCTTCTGTCTGACCGGTTTATGGGCGGTGGAGATGCTAAGCTTGTGGCTGATGACGTCAGGTGATATGCCAGGCATGTCATCGTAAGACCAGGCGAAGACCTCCGCCTGTTGCCGCAAGAAGTCAATGAATTGCGCTCGTAGGTCGGGATCTAGGGTGGTGCCAATCTTTACCCACCGATCGGGAAATTCCCCATCCAGGATTACTGTTTCGAGTTCCTCCGCAGGCTGCGCTACCGGCGTTGGTGTTTCCTCTCTTGGGTCGTCTATAGGCCCGCTACCGTTCGGTAGTCCCTGCACAGACATGGCTTTCATTGGAGGTTTGCAAGCTACCGATTTAAGGGCAGTTGCATAGCACGTCCGTGCGCTGAGTTGGTCCCCTCGGATAACGCCAGTACCGTTGCGGGTAGGGAATTTCATCAGCAACATGTGGGGGTACAAGTGGGCTTTGACCCTGGTGAGTGTCGTTCGTCCTACGATGACGTTGTATGCCGTTAGGCAGTCGACGATGAGGAATTGGTCGTAGGTCATTATTTTTCTGGGGGCAACGCCGAAGGCGATGGTTTGACTGATACTGCCAACTGACTGGACCAGATCTCCAGAAAAACTGAGTAGAGGCGTTATCTGCCGATTGACCATGTTGTCAGCAATTCCCAGACCTTTGAATGCATCGGTAAAAATCACATTTACCGAACTTCTGGTGTCGATCAGTACTCGACCTACATCGTAGTCGGCGATCTCGGCTCGAATGATCATCGGGTCATCGTGGGGGTAAATGATCCATTCTTCCTATTCTTCACAAAATGGGATGGGTTCCCAACCTACCTTCGGAACCTTACAGTACCAATCGTCTTCTATTTCGAAGACTTGAGGGTAGTGAGCCGCACACACATATTGCTTCATTAATCGGTTAGAGGGTCCCGCTAGAGTGGGGCCTCCGCTGATGGTGCTGATCATGTTGATCTGTCGATTCGCGTTTGGGGCTGGTGCTTGCTGTGGTTTGGCAATATATTGATCCAACTTTCCCTCTCAAATCAACCGTTCAACGATCTTCCTCAGGCTAATGCAGTCTTCAGTATTGTGGCTGTTCTGTTGATGATATCGGCAGAATTTGCCGGTATCCCGATTGTCCTGCCGATTGGGCTTCCGGTTGTTGGGTTTTGGGATTTTTTCGTGCTCGTTCATCAGTACAGGGAGAAGACTTCCTTTGAGCCACCCTGCAAAGCGGTCTTGATTCGGCAGTGGCTCTCAGTGGTCGTTGCGACCGTATTTCCCACGCCCTTTCTTTGAGCCACCCTGCCAATTATCACGGTCGTCTTTTCGCTTGTGCTCTGCCGAGGAGTCGTCACTCCGCCCAGGATAGCTCTTGGGTGCCGATTCCTCCTGCCGAGCCGAAGGCCCGGGCTTGGAGTTGAAATATTCAGCCTTGGGGTGGACTGCCGCCTGCTTCATCAGTTCGTCATATGTGCGCCAGTTGCTACTGTGCACAAGATAAAGGATCGAAGGCCACTTTTGAAGGCGTCGTAGGCTGCCCTATCGTCCGTTTCCAGACATCTCGAGTACTCATGACTGAAACGCGCAGCGTATTCCCGTAAGGGTTCATCTTCTCCCTGCCGAATCGTGTACAGATCGTCGGCAGAGTACAGATGGTCCGTCTGAATCATGAAGTGATTCAAAAAAATCTGCTTCAGCTCGTCAAAGGAGTCTACCGTTCTTAGTTCAAGATGGTAGAACCAGTTCAAAGCAGCTCCGGTAAGGAAGGATGGGAACACCAGGCATTGCCCCTCCTCGCCGAGGCCCTTGCATCCAACCGCCGATTGGAAGGAGTAAAGGTGCGTCAAGGGGTCTTCCACGCCAGTGTAAAATGGTATACGCAACGGCTGTACCTCTCTGTTCGGTCTGGACCTCTTGATGCGCTCGGTAAAGGGTCCCGGCCGAAGTTTCCCCCAGTCAGGTCTTGGGACCCGGTTCGGTCATCTTCCATCTTCTGAACTCTCTTGAAGAGCAGAAGGATAGCGGGGTCTCGGCTTGGGACTTGTTCAGACTTGATCGCCTTGCCTTCGAATACTCCGTGGGAGTTTCCGAATGGTAGTTCGATTCGATGCCTTTCGACGGGGCATACTCGTCGTCAGATTCTACCTCCGATTCCAACCCTCGGACTTTCCTGAGGGGTGATTTGTCTCCAAGGACCCTCATCCGTGAGTCCTGTAGGCGAGCATTGATCCTAATTGGGGACCTCTGCCGTTCGGCATCCTTGTCGTTGATCTGATGGCGACAGTCGGTGTAGACCTTCTTTGGTACGTGAGGCTGGTCCCGTGGGGCCGGGACTACCAGCTGTTTGGAAGGCGCAGGCGTTGCCTTTGCCCACTTCTTCCCTTTCTTCTGCCTACCGAGGGTCTGTAGACTCTGGGAAGGTTCTGTAGACTGAATGTTCTGCGTTTTCTGCTGATTAAGTAGCCGCTGAGTTTCGTCTACTTTGGACGAGAGGAGGTTGTTATGTTCTTGGAGCTTGGCCATTTCTTTCTGAAGGGAAATCATTTGAGCTAGAAGCTCTGCTTCGACCGTAGTCTGAAGCACCGGAGGATTACCGAAGGGTGTGCTAGGGTGCAGCGCGGAGCTTGCTCCGCTTTACATACCGTACGATAGTCCGTCCTCCGGTAAGAACGTTTGTCCTGAAGTGGTTCCCATGTGTTTTTTAGGAATTGTAGGTTGATTCTTATCGTTTCCCACAGACGGCGCCAAACTGTTAACGCATAAAAATAGTTCAGCACTTTCCCGCGCAACTTAGAGATGTTGGGCCTTCGGTATGCTCTGGGCCTCAGTAGGGCGTTCGATCTGTAAGATAGCAAACGCTCGGTAAGACTTAGGGCACCGGTGTGGTACCGGCGGAAAGCTCTTCGATGCTTAAGTAAGTACGGATTTTGTAAGATTGAACTGCAGATCAGTAGGCAGTATGCTGTAAGTTCTGATTAATTACCTCCTAGTTGGGATAGTTGTTCTCTTTTATAGGCCTTGGGAGGTGTGCAAATTGTTTAGAATTTCGATGTGGGACTGTGGACTCCAATTGTGGGACTGCCACGTGCCCTTTGTAGTGGAGTTGCCCTAATCGTGCGATCGGTAGGAACGAACTGTAGCTATGTGCCGAAGGCTTCCATAGCTATAAATTGGTCCACGTGTCCGATGGTTATTGGCTGTTCATTTGGGTATAAACAGACACCCTGCTAAAACCGATAAGCTTACCCGTAACTGCAAATGCTCATCACATTCTTTCCTGCCATACTATCACATCACACACCGGTGAAAGTAAGGTAGGAAAGAATGTGACGAGCAAATCAGTCTAGAAGATTGCTAACTTTGTCTAAACTCCTTCACCTTCACAAACACTAGCCTAGCCACAACCCTACGCCAATTACATCCATTTTTTATAGTGAAAGACAAGACCTTGGACACGTACCATTCAATTCCATGTACCCAGGAGATTTGGAGCTCATATGTGGGAGTGAACAAGTACCAGTCATCTTCTTTGGTCCTGCATATTTTGGAATTTGACGCGTTTCCAGGTTCCCCCCGCCCAAGCAGAACGCAAAGAACCACCTAATTTTGTTAATTTGGGGGTCTCTTATGCTTGGTGTTTGTTTGAGAGTTGCGTTGGATATGATTGGAAAATGAGAATCACTCTATTGCTTAATGGGCTTAGTTCTTTTTCTGCATATCTGGCTGGCTTTATAAAAAAAATTATTTATATAACAAAAGCCCAATAAAGCCTTTTCTTTTTATTTTTGGTTGAAAGTGACTTTTGATCTCTGATGTTTGTCGGATTTTCACTTTTATCTCTATATTTTCAATTTTGGCAATTTAACCTATGTAGTTTGATATCCCTCACAAATTAAGGGCATGTCCAAATTTCCGTCAAATTTCATCACAAAGTAAGTATGTAGCGATGATATAGAGGGGTATTGTGGATGGAATTTTTGAGAGAATTAAGAGGAATTTGACAAAATTTGTAATGCGTTTTTGAATTGTGAGGGACTATGAAAATAAAATACTAATAGAGAGTTAGTTGAATTGACCATACCTTTAGTGTGCTCCCAAATGATCATGACTCATGGATTCAAGCTCACATGGTAAACCTTAAGTGAGTATTCCCATTCACTTCCTAACTTTGGAAATTTTTTATATTATAAAAATAAATAAAATTACAAAGACCAACATGATAAAATTGGTAAAATATAGGAGAACCACAACTGACTGCCGGGGCTTGTAGTTTGTATTAGTTAGTCAAGTAAGGAGATTATTAAAAGCCCAAATTATTTAAAATAATCAAGTAATTAAATAATATAAGTTGACACCAAACCACTGATATGAATTATTTATTTCTATCCAGAGTATAATACGGAATACCAAACGAGCCTTTTACGTTTTTATTATACTTTTTTGCCGGCTTTTGCCCTTCTCGTTCTTTATTGGTACGCTCTGCACTTATTTACCGTAAAACCCAATTCTCATCAGGATATCTGGATCCCTAATTTCCTCTCCATCACGCCTGCCGCCTCTGTTCCTCTCTCTCTCTCTCTCTCTCTCTCTCTCTCTCTGCTCTTTCTTTCATCTGATCAGATTTTACTGGTTCTTTTCGTTGTATGTGTTTGCTGGGTACTTTGATGTTTGGTATATATGCCTCAACCTTTTGTTGTGAGTGGATGGACTTATGTCAATGAACTCGGACAAATGTGCGGTCCGTACATTCAAGAGCAATTATATGAGGGTTTATCAACCGGGTTCTTGCCCGATGAGCTTCCTGTGTACCCTTTGGTCAATGGCTCATTGATCAACCCAGTTCCATTGAAGTACTTCAAGCAGTTCCCTGATCATGTTGCTACTGGGTTTGCATATCTCTCTTTGGGCATCTCAACCACAGCAACCACACCCACAAATTCTTTCAACTCACCTCATGGAGGGGATTTGCCTATGTGTAGCACACCTACACCTGCACCTGCACCGGCTCCTGTTTATCCTGATCCCCAGTTCAATTCCACTTTTCATGCCAACAACTACAGCAGTGTTAATCTTTCCAATCAGCCCATGCCAATGGTATTCATACTTATACTTTTCTGGTTGAGCATCTGTATTACACTGTAATCGTATGTAGTTTTCTAGATACTGTCTGATTATTGTTTTCTTGTTTTGTTTGTTTCTCTATGTATGTATACCAGCCTAATGAAGAGTCTTGTTGGTTGTATGCCGATGGTGAAGGACAGAAACACGGCCCGCATTCTCTCTTTGAATTATATTCGTGGCATCGGTACGGATATCTTCAGGATTCAGTAATGGTAAGATTTGAGATCGTCTTGTGATGATGGTGGTTGGATATGTAAATTCTTATAAATAAATAAAATCCAATTGGCATTTTAGTATGATATCACATCTTTCAAGAATTGAGCTTCCTGGTTTAGAATGGATTCTACCGTTTGTACATCATAATCAAAATTATTCCCATTATATGGTCGTTTAATTAAAACAAGTCAACTCAGATCTGGGACACACATAGACTTTGTAAGCATCAAACTGATAAAAATAAGACATGAAACCTGAACAATGAGTGTGGTGCTTACTCGGAATTGTGATATTCGGTCTTAATTACCCTTTGTTGGAGGTGGACTCTCCTGAAATTTTGCATTTTCTGTAAAGCTCACTTTAAATCATTGGCTTATTGCGTGTATACTGCATTTTATCTTGTTACCTTTTTGAGAGATTTGGGT